CAACTATGAAGAACCCAGTTAGTGTTATGATTTGGTCATGCATGTCAGCAGATGGTATAGGTCGCCTTCATGTCATCGATGGGACACTGAATGCCAGAAAATACATTGACACTATTCTAGAACCAAAACTTCTACCTTCCATCAGAGATCTCTTTCCCAACAATGCTTCGCTTATTTTTCAGCAGAATTCTGCTCCTTGCCACATGGCCAAAATATCAGAAGAGTGGTTTCGTACAAAGAGCATTAAATTGTTGTCATGGCCAGGAAACAGTCCTGACCTCAATCCTATCGAAAATTTGTGGCATCGCTTGAAAACTCTTGTCCGAATGAGGCGCCCATCAAATAAAAGGGGAACTAATTGAGTCTATAATTGTTTCCTGGCATCATGTAATAACGAAAGAAGAGCTTAAAACTCTTGTCAGCTCAATGAAACATTGATGTGAAGCTGTAATCAAAAATAAAAATAAAGGGTACCTTACTAAGTACTGATAACTCACTGCAATCATCACTATCTAATGTATATCGATAACTATTATCGTTTAACATTTTTTGTATTGCAAATAATTGAATTTTGTGTTTTGTATTGAATTCAGTAATAAATTCTCTTTAAAATGATATATACAAGTTTGCATTTTGTGAAACGTAACGTTTTCTATAAGCATACAAAGTTCAAACACATAAAAATTTCCAAAAGTGTCCACAATTTTGCCACCACTGTAGATAGTATCAAGTGAGAAAATGTCTAGCATCAGCCCTGCCTACAGGACATTGTGACATATAAGACAAATCATTTAAATTGTCAGTTTTCAGTTTCTTTATTCATAGAAATTTTCCTTTCTACACATGCCTGTCTGAGAGACAAGATTACAGCCATTTTTGTAATTTTCCATGCTTGTGTCTAGTGAAAAGAAGTGAAATTGAAAGGAAAGATAAAAATGTTAAGAGAAAGATGTCTGGGATCTAAAGCAGAAAATGTACTTGCATCATATCCCGTCGACCAGCCAAGTACTATGACATAGCGGCAATTATGAATGACAATTTCCTTTAGAATTCCACAGTAATGATTGGCAAGTATTGCCGAAATTCACACCAATGGTCGACAGGATAATACATAAGTACAATAGAAAATTCAAATAATTTTGTTTTATTGTTCTTTCAAAAATTCTCCAAAAAATAAGAAATTCATGACACACTTCCCATAAAATCCTTCATGGCACTTTTCTTTTTGTCACATTTTTCTGGAATCACAGGTCTATAAATCTTACCTTCAAATTCTTCTAAACATTCTGAGGTAGGTCTAAAATCTGAAAGGGAAATTGTCCCTACCTAGGTTAGTGTATACTTTAGGGTAACCATGGATATCACCAAGTTATTAATTAAGGATTATCACCAAGTTGTTATTTCATTTATGATAACCTGAGTAGTTGAATATTATAGAAACCCTGTTAAGCATTGGTTTTAATGCATGATTTTGACTGATGGGAAAATATTTATAAGGGCTTACTTAGGTATGGATGTTGGTTAGGAAGTATGTTGCATATTTTGAGCTTTACACTTTAAAATGCCTGCTGCTGGTACAATTAACCTGAAATTTCTGTACACTTTGGAATGATTAAGAAAGAAAACATCGACTGCTTGTGTGTAAGTGAAGATTTAAAAGGCTTCATTCACCTCTCAGTAAATTAGTGAGATTTAAGGATTTCGAAACCAGAACTCATATCAACACAGGAAGATATGTGGTATGCAATAAAAAGGGATTCTCAAAAGAAATGCTACCGATAGTCTGGCAGTATCGAGGATGTTTTTCATTTTTTGTGGTGATGGCAGTAAATAGAGTCTAGTTTAAATAAATGGTTTCTGAATGCTGTTAAGGAATTCTGTGTGCCACACATATCGAAGAAACAGAACTTTTTAAATAAGGTAAGTTGACATTTCCTTTTTGTACAGCGTAGATTAGATAACGTGTATTTCCATTCTAATGTTAGTTCGGTGTTTGATTTAAAATGTAGTTTATTGAGATTATATATTTTTTGTTTTAATTATGATTTATTACATTATAATTTGAACACCATTTTGCTGCGGAGGGGGTTGGACGTGAACAGGAAATGAGGTCAAAAAAAGTCGCCAATTTTCCCGAAGGGACACCCTGAAATATATTTTTACCCCTACCAATTCAGTAACAGTAAAAGCAAAAGGTTTTTGAAAAAAAAAAAGTAGAAAAGAAAAATGAATTTTATAGAGAAAACTGATACACTTTTGAATACTCTGAAAAAATTACATGGGAAAAAATTCTTACCCTGAAAAAATATAAAAGAAGACAAATTATATTAGTTTAAAAATATTTACAACACCTATTTTGTTTTTGCCAGGGTTTTCAGAAACTGTGCATTATAGCTTTTATTACCTTGCTTATTTTTCAGATTCAAAATATTCCATTAATAAGACACCAAAATGGAAAGCAATGACATTTTATAATTTGACAAGGGAAAATACAAATATTTCACTTTAATGTTATTTCTTAAATATAATTTTAATACATTATCATTATTTAAATACTTACCAATGTTACTGTGTTTGTAAACAAAACTGTCGAAAAATTCACAGGTCTCCAAATTAAAAGTTTTGTATATAAATAAACTGAATTAAAAACTACCAAATTCAGAGCCATTTTAATAAAAGAATTCATATCCACAAAAGGGTAAAGTTGTTTTTGATGTAATATTTTACGAGTTCTTCATTTGCAAAAAAGAAACAATTTCAAAACGTTCATTTCACTTCTTGCCCAAAAAACTTGAGTATTGCACCCTTTATATTAGAAGTAGGAACAAATTCAAATAACCCATTAAGTACATATTTGTCAGTGTATCACCAAAAAATATTCCCGCACAACACAAATTCACACTTAACCCGGGAAGACGCGTGTGGGGTGTTTCGGCACCCCACGCTTAAAAAAAATCGAAGGCAATTACCCCCCCCCCCAATAATCCAAAATAATTAGTTCCATCAGTAGCTGCCTCCAAGATCATGTTCTATACGTTTCGAGTGGAAACGGCAAATTCTGAGCATTTATTTTTACTTAAAGAATAGAGTTTGGGGTGTGCCGCCACCCCATGCACATTTTAGTGTTGCTATTTCTCAGCGTGAGCCATGTAAAAAGTGTGACAACAACGTGAGTCATGTTGTGAAAGACTCAAATACTTATGTAAAAAAATATTTTGAAAAATTGTTTAAGAGAAAGAGACGCAAAACTTTACTCTGTTTAGGACTCTTATACATAGATGAATTGCACAAATCTTCTCATGCATATGTTAGAGATTTATGGGCGACTGATGGCACAAGATTGGATATTTTTCGCAAAACTATGAACTATGAGCGTTTTCTTTTCATTCTTCGTGCCTTATAATTTTATATGGGAATACGGGATAAGAGAAGAAAGAGTGAAAAATTAGCTCCAATAAGAGATTTATTTGAAAATTTTGTCAAGACCTGACATAAATTATATCATGTGAATATGTGACTTTGAACAAAAAGCTAGAACCTTTTCAAGGACCATGCTCCCTTCGGCAGTATATACCTAAGAAACCTGCAAAATACAGTATAAAGATATTTGCTGTGGTTGATGCTAGAACCTTCTATGCTTTCAACATGGAAATATACGCAGATCAGCAGCCAGATGGGCCATACAAGAAAGTCAACAGTTCTAGTGAAATAGAAAAGCGCATCTTAGCTCCATTATACAAATCTGGAAGAAACTTTACTGCAGACGATTGGTATACCAGTTATGAATTGGCCAATTTCTTGCAGAAAATGATTTGATGAACCACAAACAAAGAAAAAAAAATATAATGCCGGGGATTTTACATGTGCTCAAGGCAAAAGGACAGAAAAATCAAAAACTACATGTGTGAAGTGTAAAAAAAAAATATGTCAAGAGCACTGTGAAATAGATGGCTTCATGTATAAACTGCAAAATATCTAATGCTTCTTGAGCCTAATTGATTTAAAAATTAATTATATAACTCATTGTTCATGTAATAATTCTGCATTATTTGAATTATAATTGCATTCTCAAATAAAAAAAATTTCTCATAGATGCCAATGATTCCTTGTCATCTGAAAAAAAAATATTTGTTTTTAATTTTAAAATATTGTTTTAAGCTATTTTTTATAATAAATGCAGCAATTAATATAAAATGCATTCTTTTACTGAATTGTAATAATACGTTTAATTTGTATGTCCTTTAATTGCTTGGGGTGTGTTGACACCCCATGTGTGTGCTCGTGTTACATAATAACAGTGCGTGTCCTCCTGGGTTAAAATGGCAGTCTTAAAGAAAAGACAGAAATGTCAGATGATTAAATAAATTTAAGGACCTTTTGTCAATTTTAGCCAAAATTAAGGATTAATAAGGGCAAATATTTATTTCTGCATAAGCTTAAGGACTTGTAAGGACCATACGAACCCTGTGATTGTCATTGGCCACAGTTTGATTTTCCAGTGAGGAGGTATTTGAAAGTGACACACAGAAATTTCACTTAGAAAAATTACTTTTCTGACACTCCTGCTTTTTCTTGAGTATTATATTCTTCATTTCTGCAGTATTATATACTTTATAAAGGAGAGTCTGGGGGAGGAGGCTAGAGGTCTGGAAGTCTGATCATATCAGGTGTTGGATAGCCGGATTTTGGACTGTGGTATTATACTTTAGGTAATTTATACTTAACTACAAATGCTCAAATATTGTAATCTAGTACACAATGAGTACTGAAAATTAATTAAGACAGACAGGAAGAAATACTTCTTATGATTTGTAAAGTCTTTTTCTCGTGCATCTACTGATTTGGTTAGTAAACTGGAAAATTTTGCTTGAATTCATCAACAGATTATAAATGGCAGATTAAAACTAATATGTATTTAGAAAAAATTTCTAAATGGTATGTTTAGAAGAGAAAATAAATTTTCACTGTACTTAAAATAGGTAAGTATAAGTTTTACTTACCTTCTGTTAGATAAAGTCCTATTAAAAAGCTGTCTGATACCAGACTCCAGAGGCACTATAGCTTCGGTCATTTTCTTTGTAAAAAAATTAACAAAATTTTTAAAAATAAACCTAACACTTCGATGATAAAAACACAAAATAATTTTGATCAGAAAAATATACTAAAGTAGCATCAAGACAAAATATATATTACATTAAATGCAGAACAAATGTTATTTAAAATAATAAGATTTGTTCTTCATTGTAAAATTCTCTGAAATTTCAGCTCCATTTGTATTTAATACAACTTATCTGCAAGGCTTAGAAGGCAAGAATTATAGTACAGTACAAAGTCTGAAATCCAGGACTTTTGGGAAGTCTGACTCTTCAGGACTTTGGCGATTCCGGATTTGGGATTTTTCCGGGTATCAGATCATCAATTTAAATCTGGTAAGATGGCATGCAGAAATTATACAATTAAAATTATGAAATCGTAATTTATGAAGTAAAGAATTATTATGATCTAAACGGTATCAAAATTTACAAAAAAAAAAAAAAAAAAAAGGCTTAATATTTATTTGTTTACTTTACTAAACATTTCTTTCAATATAAGCTGTTTAAGTTGCTTCCACAAAAAATTCAAAAAGTTCCTTTTCTTTTTTCTTATGTCATATACAGTTTCAATGCCATATACATATTTCAATGCCATACTCCTCCCATAATTTTGAGACGGATATGTCTTTATTCATTTTTTGCAGCAATTCCACTTTTTGTTTAATGGACATCGGACATGGTTTCGCTTTGTAGATCCTTTGCAGCTCCAGAACTAGAAACTCTTTATGACATAATCGAAAGTTCAAGTTTAGCTTTTATAAAATTGCCGTAATAATAACAGTCTGCAAAAAATAATAAGCTGGATAAAACTAGAAGATTGGGAGCAGTGCAGTCCGTTACATTAACTGAAATGCCTTAGAATCAGTAAAGATAATTTTAGCCTAGCTTAATAGCATCCATCATACATTATTGGCTGTGTATCACAAGATTGGCGATGAAAGCCAAATTGTTTCGCTAAATTTTGTCTTGCTCTTATTACGTACTGAATTAAGCTTGAATTGTATTACAATAGTTTAGTTTTCTATACTTATGTTTATTTCTTGCAAATGCTTAAAACTAATCTGAGTCCTGAATAAATAAACTCTCATATATACTTAACGCTTTATCTAGGGCCGGCAGTAAATACCACCCGGTGCAGTCTCTACGGGTTCTAAATTGTGCTACAAAGCGCCTTCCTCAGTTCTAAATTTTCACCGCACCTAAACTTTGCATCCCAGTGCTTTCCCTAAATCATAAAAAACTTCTCATCCCTTAATTTTGCCACTCGGTGCTTCCCCAAATTCCAAAAATTTCGTCTTCCCTAAATTCTGCTGTTCGACGCCGACATATTCTGCCACCGCTTCTGGGTTTATGGTGAATAACATATCAGTTATTCTTAATTAAAATAGCACTAAATGTAATCTTTTGGCCTATGAGTTTCAATAACAAAATATGTTTTTAGCATATGAAAGAAAAATTTTGTTGAATTTTTCCTCGTCGTTTATTTCTTAAAGCATTTAAAAATCTATAATCATCGCCAAGCATAATGTTAGCATAAAAGGTTGCCATACTCTTGTTGTTCAATTACTGATATAAAAAAAAAGTTTAGACATCACTGCATGAGTTATTACTGAAGCTCTCCTGTATTGATAAACATGCTGTGATGAAAGCAAAATATAATAAATAATGACTCACCAGGTTGGTGTTAGGGATATAAAATAGGTGAATGTTTCGGTTTGAGATGTATGCCAAGTAGATACTCAGCTACAGAGCCAAATTATTGATCTCACAAATTTATGCTTACATGATTGTTTTTCCATAACAAGATATTTTATTTAGTGCCTAAGTGAAATTAAGAATTGGAATTTTTAAGTGAAAATCTCCACGTTTTATTATGGAAGGAAAAATCAAATGCACATGCGTAAAGCATATAAAAAAAAGTTTGTGGTTTTGAGGTTCGGATTTTAGATCATTCCGGATAATGGACGTCCGGATTTTAGACTTTGTACTGTACTTTTTTAATTATCCACACGATCATCCCAAAGCTGCAAAAAAGTAATATGAAAATGCTCTAGGTTGCCAGTATGCATTTAGTTGGTAACCCAGGTATGTAGCACCCCTCCCTTCCCCAGATAGCTTTCCACATTTCCATATATTTTTGCCATGTATGAATGAAAATTATAATCCTTCTTAGGGGTTTAGTTTGGTTTGGGTCTACTTGATTACAGCAAAGCACTCGAGTACTGTCTGCTTAAGTGCACTGTTTAAGTACTCGAGTGCTATCTACCCATGCAGCCAGCCCATTTGCTGGAATTTGAATCTTGGATCAAACTACTAGTGCTCAGACAGCAGGGAACTTCATACCGCAGTTTTTTGCCATCTTTTGTGAAATCTCAGACTTAGTTTTCTGCATGCATAAAGAATAATGTGGTTCGCTTTTAAAGGTATAATATGCAGAATGACAAGTATGTGCAGTGTTCTGCTGCTAAATTCAAAGAAGTACTCTTACTTTTTGTGCATAATTCAAATGCGGGACATCAAAATATAAAACATTCATGACAATGCCAAAATACAGCATATTATTTTTTTTTTCTTTTACAGTGTAATTTCAAAAAGTACGTATGAAATATAGGTTAAGATATGCTTATTTTAATAATTTTAACTGCTATTTCACAGTTTATTAAAAACTGATTACATTTAAACTAAGAATAAGAAAATAATCTCACACAAATAAGAAACTAAAAATAAAGACTACGCCCACTTTTTAAAAACTTTCTGTATAACAGAAAAATAAATTTTACAGAAACCAAACTTAATAACTTCTCAGCTCCTTATACAAATGAATTATACTGTTACAGTTTAAGTGACTACAAAAGATGTGGTTTTACAGGAAATTAATATTACTGCCCCTCTTTTTATCTACAGCAAGTCTTACTTTGGTTAGAGTTGACTTTAGAGTAACCCTTGTATTATCGTGAAGTTGTTTCATTTATCGCCAAGTTGTTGTTCCATTTATTGCCAAGTTGTTGTTTCATTTATGGTAAGAGTAGTTGAATGTTATGGAAACCCTATTATGACGTAATCGTTTGCATTATTCCGGGAAATTTTGAATCATGGGATGTTTTGGAAGGGCTTTTGTGGTGTGTGTGGTTAGGAAATACATTGCTTGTTTCATTGTTTAGACGGTAAAATGGCTGAATGTAGTAAGATTAATTTGAAGTTTCTGTATGACTTGGAAGGAAAGGGGAAAGTGCATTAATTGACTGGTGTGTAAATGAAGGTTTACTTAGTATTCATTTTCGAAACAGTCTGGAATACGTAGAATAACTTTGACTCTTATTTTTATGAATTTATGTGTCGATGCCGATATACGGATTCTAGTTCAGATAATTTTAGGAAATTTTTTTATGCTGTTAAGGAATTTTGTGTGCCACAGAGGTAAGTGGATATTTGCTTTGTGTAATGCTTAAATGCATAATTCTTTTTTAAGTTATTTTATTGTTTAACTTAAAATGTAGTTTATTGAGATTATGTATTTTTTGTTTGCCTCTACTGTAGAATTGGGTGCTCCTTTGACTTTTTAAGTGAAAATATATCGATGTGTACATGGACAAACTCAAGGGAGTGCACAAAGCCTGGTTTGCGCAATTCTCTGATGTTTTCTGAAGTGAAAATATGTCAATTTGTACATGGATAAAGTCAAGGAAATGTGCAATGCCATTTTTGTGCAATTCTGGGATTTTTTTTTAAAGTGAAAATAGGTTGATGTGTACATGGATACCAAGTTTGTGCAATTCTTTGCCCTGTTATTTTGGCTTTGTGTAGTGGCGATTTTTGAATGCAAGCCAAAATAACAAGTCAAAGACTTGCACAAATTCGGTATCCATGTACCACCAAAAATCGCCAAGTTTTGCCTAGGAGTACCCTAAAATATACTTTTACCCTTACTTTAAAGATACTACAGTAAAATTCCAGAAATCCGCATAGCTTGGGACCAGAAGTTGTGCGGATTTTAGGACAGAAAAGATAAAACATAATATTCGGACTAAAAGTGCAAAATGAATAATGCGTATTAGATACATTTAAATAAATTATTATATACATTATTGCAATAATTCATTATATGCATTAAATTATTATTACATATATAAATTGATTATATTATACATTGTATTATATGTACACAGCATCGAGGTTTGCCGATTTCGCCTCATGCAAAGATTTCCAGTTTCAGATTCCGGTGTTAGAATCACTGTTGCTGTACAATTTCAACAGCTTTTCGTTATTTTTTTGTATATCATACACAATCGTGTCGCAATTCCATACCATTCTGCTATAAATCGAGGAGTAGCAGCTGCTTCCATCTTTTGCAGAATTTGCACTTTTTGCGTTACCGTCAATGCAACGTGTTTACGTTTTTCAACGTTGCAAGCAGTAAAATTACGAGTGCGTTTCTTATCTGTCATTGTATTAAAAAGGGCGGAAATTTAAAATATTCTTAATTTATCCACAAAATATCCGGATAAAAGAAAAGATAGCACTAAACAATCTCGTTAAATGAAATAACAAAGCTCAGAAAATACAACAACGGTGAATCGTGAACTTGAACAAAGAGTTGAGTGAATCACCTGCTTTTTTACCTCGATGCAGATTAGAGGGGGAAAAAACTTATCTTATTTTTTCAATGTTTTTATATCAATAATTGTTTTGACTCATTATTATTCAGTAATTATGATGTCATTATTTAGTAAGTATTTTTTTCTTCGATATTTCGTACTCAATGTGGCAGTTTCCGGAACTTACAAACTGAATGTTTATATTCTGAGAGGCAACACGGATTTCAGGTCGGCGGATTTTCGGTATTTGACTGTATTTACAACAGGCCTCAGCAAGCTTTTTGGCTAAATGGCCACATCTGATATTTAAAAAAAAAAAAACTACAGGCCACCAAATAAGATAGTAGTTTTAAATAAACATAAAAATTAATAAATTTCCAACAGAAACAATTTAATGAGATAAATTACATTGTTTTAAATCTTTACTCCCCCCCTTTTCCTGAGCAATATTCTTGAATTTATAGAATAATGAGTACTGTAAAATTTCCAGATTTCTTTATGAAAAAGTGCAATTCTCTTAAATTATCTTACAAGTCTACAATTTATAGTTCACTAGGTATACTATTAATTTCTATTCAAGATCAAGCAAAAACTATCATCACATTTGTTTTCAATTTCTTCTTTTTTTTTAATTGCCAAATTTTGCTAACAAGACATGATTTACAATGTATAAAATTCAATCTCAGTTTGAACACAGTTAGTTAGCAAGCTGATAACTTCAAAATGTATAATAAAATCAAATTTATTTTATTTAAAAAATGTAAAAGAAAGCTACAGTTAAGAAATACAGTTGCTCACAGGCTGCAAAAAAAATTGTCAGAGAGCATTAATTCACCCGGGTCTGATCTTAAAGTTTATTCGAATTAGATAACTTAAATTCAGATGTTGTTATAATGCCAGCTGCTTTTATAACAAAACAAATGCATTCCCCACAATTCATTTTTTTAGGTCCCAAAAATATAATTTTTCAATGTATCAAATATCATTAAATTAATTAACACTTTTCCCCCCTCCTGCAAAGAACCCTTTGGCAACAGCGTCTTTCTTGTTACCAAGCTCACCAACAGCAATGGTTGCAGTGATATGCAGTTAAGTTTTGAAATAAAACATGACATTTATTGCAGAGCATGTTATCAAGCATATGTAAGTTAAATTTAGCTAAAAATTAGCTGATTAAAGATATTAAGCATAAACATTTAATTAGTGCATTTCAATTCAGCTAACAGAAAAACATGATATTAAACATACACAGTTGGAAATCAGCTGGTTCAACATGGTATTTATTACAATTCAGGTTGGCAGAAAAGCCTGATGTTAAGCATAAGTAAAGTTAGCATAAAAAAGTAAAGTTAATGCTAGGATTTTTATTGCAATATATTTCTAATTCTATTAGTATAAAAGAGTTTTAGTCTCTAGTGTAGAATTGGGTGCCCCTTCGATTAGCGACGAATTTTGTTCAGTTTTGGCAATGAAACTCCATGTCTGGTTACCATGATAGTTTTAACTTTGTTTTAGCTGCCTGATTTTTTAAAGTGAAAACAGATTGATGTGTACATGGATGAAGTTAAGACAGTACACAAAGCCTAGTTTGTACAATTCTCTTGCGTCTTTTCAAGTGAAAGTTCGATGTGTATATGGACACCGAGTTTATGCAATTCTTTAACTTTTTATTTTGGTTTCGTGTAGCAGCCATCTTGAAATTGTACCTTCCTGATGCCAATTTTGGCATAAAAAAAGAATCGCCAAAAAGACAAGAGGCACCCAATTGTAAACTTTTACCGAGTTTAAAAAAATATGTATACAATACAGTACAAAGTCTTTAATCCGGACTCGTCGGGACTTCAGGGATTCCAGATTATAGATCATCAATTTAAATCTGGTAAGATGGCATGCGGAAATTATAAAATTAAAAATATGAAATCTTAATTTATGAGATAAAGAGCAATTATGATCTAAAGGGTATCAAAATTTACCAAAAAAAAAAAGCTTAATATTTATTTGTTTACTTTATTAAACATTTCTTTCAACGCGTGCATGCAGAAAGCATACATTACGCATAGTCAAACTAGAAAATTGCAACCAGAAAACTATTTGATGTATAATCGTGATATTTATAATGACGAGGAATTTGATTTAAATCATATCAAAGACGGAGTACATCGAGATGAAATACTACATTTAGTATGGAATTATAAGCTGAATAAAATAAAAACATTTGCCCTTAAGATGAGGATAGTGCTGACAGATCAACTTCCAGTTCATAGCGAGCTGCGACGTCTCCCCCCCCCCGCAGAGCAGCGTGAAATTGATAAACAGATTTAGGAATGATTAGAGAAACAAAGGATATGCCTTTATCCATTTTCTGCAGCAATTCCACTTTTTGGTTGATGGACATCGAAACATGCTTTCACTTTGTAGATCCTTTGGCAGCTCTAGAATCAGAAACTCTTTTTGACATAATCAAAAGTTCAAGCTTACTTTTAATAAAATTGCTCTAACAGTCTGCAAAAAATAATAAGCGGCATCCAATTAGAAGATTAAGAAACAACGCAATCTGCAATATTAACTGAAACAGATAATTAGATAATTTTAGTTTAGCTTATACCATCCGTTATACATTCAAGGCACATGCATAAATGTATTATGCGCACATGTAAAGGTATCATGTGCATGCATAAATGCATTATGCATTTACGCATGCACAGAAAGTTTGTAGCTTTGAGGTCCAGATTATACATCATTCCGGATTAAAGACTTTGTACTGCACTTCATTTCTTTTTTCAGATTTCCCCAAATTTTTTTTCAAAAACCTATCCCATTAGAAGTAAATTGACATTCATATATTCCCTACAAGGATTATACTCCATGCCAAAATAGGTATTCGCGTACCTGATCAGCTAGATTTTGATTGTGAAAATCAGTTTTTTTTTTTTTTTAATCAATTCTTTAGACTAGGTATGACGGTGAATCTTTGCATTATGGTAACTTGGCGATTTTTTGGCGACCTACCCTGCTACAGCAACCTGATAGTTTTGTTTTTGATGCCATTTTGTTTTCACGAAGTAAAGGAATTTTTTTTTTTTTTTCCTTACTCAACATTTTTTCCAACAATCTGCTAGCCGAATTACACTTATACTAGAACTTTTATGGAACAAAAATGCTTAATCATGACGAAGATTAGGTGCGAAATTGGGAGAAAGTGAAGAATCGCAAACTGCTTGCCGCGTTTTTAAGAATTGCACATACACGGTATCCATGTACACATTGACCTATTTTCATTTAAAAAAACATCCCAGAATATCACAAAAATGGCATTGCGCACACTCTTGACTTTATCTATGTACACATCGACCTATTTTCACTTAAAAAGTCAAAGAAAATTTACCAAAATTCAATTCTTCTTACTTTTGTAAAAAGCGCCAAACAAATAAGAGGACGATTCTGCACTTTAGCAGCGAAATTGTTTCTAAGTGCTTATTAGCTAAAATCACGATCGGAATTTTCTGGAAAATGTCACATTACATGTCTCATGATCTCTCATTTCTCTGAGACAAAATAATCTGTGATTCGAACTGTGTACTTCTCAGATTATTGCTAAAGTCCTAGCTAGTAACCTTTATCGCCTTACCAAAATGTCGCCAAACTACCTGTTACCATATTCTAAAGATTAGCCATTATGACTTCTTTAGAGATCTTTAGGTAGGCTTCTTTAGACTAGGTATGAGTAACAGTTGCCGGATTAACGAAATTTCTGCAATGATAAACAGCCTGATACCCATACCTGCCTACGAATGAATACATGCACCATTCATCAGTCATAACAGTAGTTTCCTGTGCTACCAGAGTCGTAGCTAGGGTTTTCAGCGCCCAGGGACAACTGAAAATTCCGCGCCCCTTACTGCTTGCCAGGGATGGAAAACATTTAATTCTACAATGTTGTAACATCAGTTTGGCGCCCCTTGGATTCTGCGCCCGGGGACAGATGCCTCCTTCTAGCTACGCCCCTGTGTGCTACGCGCTTCTTAATCAGCGGCATAAGAATCTCCACTGATCCGTTGTTTGCTGTGAACATATTTTCGATGAAGGCAATAATCCTTCCGAGATGCATCACTGCAGACAACTTCCTTAACAGAATGAAAACAATTATACCTATTCATACTTAAGAAATTCAAAAAGCATGGAAATCTAAAAAATTAACAATAAATAAGTGAAGAATAAATGACACGTGCAGAGTGTGATGCTACAATATACAAAATTATGAACAGCAATGTAAGGAACCATAAAACGATGTAAGAAGAGTGGTTCCTACCTCGGAACTTGCGAATCTGTTGGATTAAACTATTATCACCATTGTTGGCGGTGTTTACATTTACAGAATTCTTTGAGGAAGTGCTTCCTAATTTTAAATAGGGGAAAAAAGTCAGATTTAAAGATGTTTACAGAACAACTCTATTTAATCTCTTCCTATGATCCTTCAAATGTGATTTTAGACGGGATTAATTCTAATGCAAATAATATGTGTTTCTATAATTAAAAGATAGTAGAGAAGTCATCACTTGCTTTATAATTAATCAAAGACTCTTTAGTAACTAATTTGCCTACCTCATTATCCTTCCTTGAGCATAGCTCCATGTGATCTCATGCACTTAATTCAGATATTAAGTCTCACAGATACAACGACTTAAAGACAATCGTAAAATGTGTGTGTGTATATTAGCTTGCAGAATTTACATTCTCTCTACATACTAAGTTGATATTCTAAAAAAGTGCTACGTTTTATTGTGATAAAACTGCAGCTTAATCATATTACTCATTTATTTTGAAATCGCATGCTTCTTGATGAACAAACTAGCTCTTCATATCAAAACAGTTGCTCAATGGGAATCTCTACAATTTCATTACACACAGAAAAACTAGAAAATTATTAAATATATGCAACAAAAAACTGTAAAAAATAAATTAAGCTCATTTTAAGACAAATTTCAGAGACATCAAATGATACATGCTGCAAACATTGCAAATTCAAATAAACACTGATTAACTACAACGCTCACCTTTTTGAAATTTCAAAATAAGTATTCAGTGTGGACTAAACACGCTTTACTGATAATACAAAAGCTCTAATTCCACTTTGAGTACAGAAATACGATCATTACATGTGAATACTGTCAAAGTAGGAATTCGTTGTTGACAGGTTATCTTCACGAGAAAAAAGGGGGAAAAAATGGGAGGAGTTACGAGATTCTCTGGGTTGCATGAAGATCTACTAATAACTTTCTCGCCAAGTAATTTGGCTTCATTGGCTCATTCTTATTTCTGGAACTGTGGTTGAAGAGTGGTCTGTTTTTGATCCGTAAGTATGCTAAAATTCTATCCATAAATTTTTAATACCTTGTTTTCCAAATTTACACATTTTGCTTGATTAATTTGAAGTTGTTTGTTTTTAGATGTGCGCAATGGCAAATTTCATTTCAGGTTATTCGTCAAATAACCAAGGTTTCTATTTCTCTGGTAAGTGTTTGCTTTATATCTTATATTTATTATTAAATATGAAAAGTAATTTTTGCATGCGTATATTTTTTCATGCTCATTTTCTGTTTTATGTGCTGGTAGATTTCTGGCCGATTACCGTGTTTTTAGATAAATGCGCCATTTTCATTTAGGTCGTGTAGAGATTACTGTTTCCATTTTTTTTAAGTAACCACGAAAATTCTAACACATGTAAAAGCTTTACTAGTAAACTTTTGATTGAGGATATTTCAAGTAAATGTGCCATTTTTACTGAATTTGTGTAGAAGTTGCTCTTCGTTATGCCTTTTTTGAGCCAATATGTTAATTAGTTGTATTCTTTTAATGTGTTGTTTTGCAGATTAATGCAGTTTATTTGACAGATGTGTAATGCTGTTTGTTGAAAAATGCATTAGAACCAATGATGGTAAGATCTTGGCCTAGCAAATTGGTAAAATATTACCTGCTCTTAATTACTGAATCATATTGTAGGATAAAATCTGCTGTTTATGTATGAAAATTTGTACCTTTATCTCTGATTATGTGGTATATGCCCAGAATTTCATTATTAATGATCGATTCATTAAAATTACTATTTTTAATTGTCTACTTTGTTTTGTGTTGCTGCTGCTAATTCTGCATTTTTTTTTTTTTTTTTTTTTTTTGGAGTAGATATAAAAATTAATTCTTGTTTTTTTTTTCCCCCCCCCTCCATGTCTCTTTTTATTGTGCTAGTAAATTTCTGACTGAACTCATTTCAAGTTGAATGCGGTATTTTCTTTAGCTCATGTAGAGATTCATCAAGTTTTTGCTGGTAAATTTTTGAGAAAATTTCAAGTAAATGTGCCGTTTTTACTTAGTTTGCATAAAAATTGTTCTTCTTTATGCCTCTTTTGAATAAATATGTCAATTCTTGTTTGTATTATTTAATATGTTGTTTTGCATATTAACACAGTTTATTTGACAGATTGAGATGCGATTTGTTGAGAATATTCATTAAAACTAATGCGGGTAAGTTCTTGGCCTAACAGATTGGTAAAAGATTTTCTGATCTTAATTACTGAATTTTTTATTATATTCTAGGATAAAAGTCTGCTTTTTACGTGTGAAAATTTTTATTTTATCTGATTATGTGCCAAATTTAATGATTCAAGAAAAATGCCATTTCTGTGTGTAGCTAGTTCGTTGTTGCTGTTCGTCATGCAGTTCTTTTGAATATGTATCAGTTTGAAAATTTATTCTACATGTGTATTTTTCTCATCCATTTTTGCTGTGCACTTTTCCTGTGAATATTATTTTTATTTAGTCTATATAGAATTTGCTCTTTGTACTTTTTTTGAATAAGTATGATAATTAGTTCTTGTTTGTGTTATTTTAATGCCCAACAATTCACTTTCGAATGTTTGTTAATTATAGAAGCTAATTTTACTTTCTTTCTGCTTTCAGTTTTTAACTCTGTACCTTTTATCCAGACATAAATAACATCTGCCTTTTCATTTCTAAACTTAAAATATCGCAGTCGGGAAAAGGTTTCAATTTGAAAGGTAGTGGCTTTTCTAATTGCAAGAATTTCTCTTCAGAATTATAATTAACATAAGCTGTGCATTCTCTGCTGAGTATTTCATTTCTCGAAAAGTCTAGTAGACCTTTTAAATCGCAATTTTAATCTTTAATTTTTTGGATATAATTAAGAACGAATTCATTTGGAAGCAATTTAAAAAATAAAGGCATTAAAATATTTCTGTATAAGTCAGTATATTTTTAATGTTGCCATGCAGTGTAAAAGCATCTCTACTTTCTCCAAGAAGTCTTGCTATTTTTCAGATTTCAAGGTTGACTTCTGTGCCTTGTTTTGCAGGTTAACATGCTTTATTTGATTGCATAGAAGTTAACTTTTCGTAAAAAGGCCTTAATTATAGTATCATTATTGGTAAATTCAAGGCTTAAACAGATTGGTGAAATGTTTGACCTTAACTACTGAATTCTGCTAATTATATGGGATATGTCCATAATTTAAATTTTCTCCTAGTAAATCGATCAATTGGAACAAAATGTGAAATGAATTTATTAAAGAGTATGTCATTTGCTGTATTCATAAATTTCCAGCCATGCATATCATTTAATAATTATTTGTTTTTAGGATAAAAAAAAAGTAGTAGCAGATGGTCCTACCAATTTGAATAAATATGGAATTTAGTTTTTAATAGTTTTATTTATTTCATGTAATTTATGATATTAAAGTATAAAGGCTATGCTCGTGGATTTTCTAGTAAAGGCAAGTTTCCAATCAATAGCAGTTTTTATTTGAGTATGGTGGTTGAGCTATTTATCCAGCATTTTTTTTAGTATGAAGACTAATCATACTAAAAAAATTTGAGCATTTTTTTTCAAGTAAAAATCAGTGTGTTATAGCTGTGCCAGTATCATTCTGCATAATGACAAAAGTTCATTAAATATGTTAGTGACATTTAAGTGTTGGTTTTGATTATCATGCAATACTGAAACTAAATTCAGAATTTCATTATTGACAAAAAAAAATTTTTTTTTTAATTCTGGGTATGAATGTCTGAGCATGTGTGTAAATTTTAAGTCATTCTGGATTTTCTTTCATTTGATTAATTCGTTAAACTTGCTGTTATCTGTGAAAAATTTTCCTATTGAACTTTACCTTTCGTTTTAGTGGCACAGGTGATAATAGATTTTTAACCCCCCAAAAATGAAAATTTCCAAGTGTGGCTATAGAGAGTATGCTCAAGTTCATAAAATAACTTAGTTTTTCTTTATCATCACCTTTCTGTTCGAGAAGCTTTTCTGCAGCATACAGTGACCACCCCTTTTCTATTATAAGAATACAGTCAAAAGTCTTTAATCTGGACGTCCATAATCCGGAATGATCTATAATCTGGACCTCAAAGCTACAAACTTTCTGCGCATGCGTCGTTTAATGTATAACGGACGGTATAAGCTAAGCTAAAATTATCTAATTATCTATTTCAGTTAATGTTGCAGATTGCGTTGTTCCTTAATCTTCTAATTGGATCCGGCTTATTATTTTTTGCGGACTGTTAGAGCAATTTTATAAAAGTAAGCTTGAACTTTAGATTATGTCAAAAAGAATTTCTGATTCTGGAGCTGCCAAAGGATCTACAAAGCGAAAGCATGTTTTGATGTCCATCAAACAAAAAGTGGAATTGCTGCAAAAAATGTATAAAGGCATATCCTTTGTTTCTCTAACCATTCCAAAATCTGTTTATCAATTTTACACCTCTCTACGGGGGGAGGAACATCACAGCACGCGCACAATGAACTGGAAGTTGATCTGTCAGCACTATCCTTATATTCAGGGCAGATGTTTTTATTTTATTCGGCTTATAATTCCTTACTAAATGTAGTATTTCATCTCAATGTACTCCGTTTTTGATATGATTTAAATCAAATTTCTCGTCATTATATTACGGATACACATCAAATAGTTTTCTGATTGCAATTTTCTAATTTCGACTATGCGTAATGTATTCTTTACGCATGCGCGCGTTGAAAGAAATGTTTAATAAAGTAAACAAATAAATATTAAGTTTTTTTTGTATATTTTGATACCCTTTAGATCATAATTGCTCTTTATTTCATAAATTAAGTTTTCATATTTTTAATTTTATGTTTTCTGCATGCCATCTTACCAGATTTAAATTGATGATCTGTAATCCGGAATCGCCGAAGTCCCGACGAGTCCGGATTAAAGACTTTTGAGTGTAGTAATTTTAGAAATTTATCTGAATGTCTCCTGTGGACTTTCATTTAATAGATAACTAAAGCCAGTATGGAAATTAGGACATTTTGATATTGAAGAATAATTCATTGCTGCCTACTCTCCTTTTTTTAATTTTTAGTCTTAACAAAGGAAAATGTTTCTCAGAAATAAATGGAATGTATTTAATTAAACTTAAATTAGGCAAATTCCATTCCCTCAATCTCTAATGATTTTCAGAATTTTTAAATTCTATTTCATTTGAATTGTACTTTTTCTTGTTACATTTTATTGATGTTATTAAATTTCATTTGGTCAGAGTTGTCTTAATCTGTAGTCATTTCTAAATTTTTATATAAAGATTTAAAAAATGGAATTAGCCAAAGAATATAAGAATTAAATGTTAATATATTTTACAACAGAATTGAATTTCAAATAGTTCAAAATCTAGTCCATGTAAATTTGAACTGAATTTTAATTTGATTTTTCTATTAATTCATTACATTTATTTAGGCGCCTAGAATGTGAACATGGTAAATAAAATGGCAAGTACCCATTCCTCAGTATATTTTGGTGGGGAAAAAACTTCTGAAATTTATGTTCAGTTTGTAGTAATATTATTCAGTTAACTTCATATTTGTTTAGGAATTTCACAGGGTGGGTGATCTTCTGTGCAAGATACTGAGAAAATTTTGATATTCTTTATGCTAAGAATAATTTCAAGAATTAATAAATTTCAGTTTTTTTTATATGATAGACTGATTATTCAAAGTAATATACACCAAGGTCACCTTGGATGATCAAGAGCTTGTATCATACATGCATATTAACTGTTATAGGATAGCTATGGACTTTGGTCCTTCAAATTGTTTTATTAATATATATACAGTATTCAAAGAACTACAAAAGGGTGGAATGTAGTGAAATAAAACATTTTT